CAGTATAAGACATGACAAAATAATTATAATTTACAAATTATCAACGGTTCATGAAGGAGAAGGGGCGGGGAGGGGGAAAAATGAGGAGCTGATACCAAGGGTTCAAGCAAAAAGCAAATGTTTTGAGAATGATGAGGGCAATAAATGTGCAAATGTGCTTGACACAATGTATGTATGGATGGATTATTATAAGAGTGAAAGGAGAAATTGGGAAGTGGAGTAGGGTAGAATATAGGGTTGGATATTGATGAGTGGTTTGAACCGTTGAGTGCAGAGTTGATGGTCTGAAATGTAAATCCCTGACCTAATTCACAATTATAAAAGTACATTTTTTAAAAAAAAGCAGTTCACCATTTGAAACATAGTAGAGGCCCCAGTTATCAGGGACATTTCTGAAGTGAGTATCCTCAATGCACACGTGCTTTCCAAACGGTGTGTGACACTATATTATTGTGTGAGTTGTGTCAGTCACAGTGTGGTGGACAGGAACTGTCTGGTGAAGCCAGAAAGGACACTATAGCCCCACCCTGAGTTAATCCTATACATGCTGCCCCATTACCTCCACCAAGGATATTGAGTCCTTAAAAGCTGAAATACTAACTTGAAAAATAAAATGGAAATTACACTTGAAAAAACTAAATACCCAGGCTCAAAATATGTGTTATAGAATGAAATGTTAAGCAAAATCTATGAGTTGAGATAGATTCGGTGACAATGAATTGATGACAGTTTAAAATAATCCCTACAATATTGAAGTCCTTACCGTACTTTAGGAAAGAATCCTTCCATTTTCTGACATACCAGTAATATCAAATCACAAGAATGGCCATACCTTAATAGTTCATTAGATTTTACTGTTTCTTACAGTACAAGCTAATCTTCCCTATCGCCTCACTTGATGACTTTAAGAGTCAACAATGACTAGGTTAAAAAGAAAGATCTGTTTTTGCAAGTGTTGCCTAAAGGCAAATATCCCCAACGAACTTTCCTACCAGGAATTCACATGAACCTGCTTCTCTTAGCACTGTGTGTGATCTAAAACCAAAAGTAAATACCTGAATTTAGATTACTTTCTTTTATTAACTGAAAAATAAAACTCCCTGCTTTACACACACACACACACACACACACACACAAATATTGCTAAAATTTAGAGAATCCTGGGTAAAACTCAGTGTATTATTTTCATGATCTACCGTATTTGATCATCACAACAATCTCATGAAGCTATAAGTATTATAATAACTTAAAAGTGAGAAATACTAGCAATCAGAAAAGATAAAACTGTTCATATATCGACTGGAAACAGGGAATCCAGGACAGGTGAACCCCTCAGGACCAGTGGTGAGAGTGGCGACTGGGAGGATGGAGGGAAGGTGATGGGGAGAGGTGGGACAGACTACAAGGATCTACATATAACCTCCTCCCTGGGGGACCGGCAGTGGAGAAGTGGGTGAAGGGAGATGTCGGATGACATATGATATGACAAAATAATAATAATTTATAAATTATCAAGGGTTCATGAAGGAGGGTCGTGGGAAGGGAGGGAGGGGGGAAAATGAGCTGATACCAAAGGCTCAAGTAGAAAGCAAATGTTTTGAGAATGATAAGGGAAACAAATGTACAAAAGTGCTTGACACATGGATGTATGTGTGGATTGTGACGAGTTGTACAAGCCCCCAATAAAATGATGTAATTACTTAAAAAACTGTTCATATAGCACACAATGGAAGGTAAGGTATAGAGACAAATTCTCAGTAAATACCATTTTATGTGTTGTACAACCTCCCAATCTACATTTTCATGTTAATGTACCCCAATCTCCAATGCCTGCAACTGATTTGGCCTCAGAATGGTTAGATATATGATAATAAAAAAAAGAGATTGTGACTTTACTTCTCTTTCTAAAGTCTTACCCTTTTTCTTAATCCCAGTTCTTCTAAAGGTCATCTTTCATTCATCAGTTAAAAGTTTGCTTTTTAATCTATAGCCCTCGGGGCTTAGAGTTGTCACGTGTTTCTAAAATCTTTCCTTACTCTATTATTGGGATTGAAATGTTTAAAAGTGTCCATTTGCAAAATAATAACCATAAGCTTTCACCTGTAAATTTTGAGTTTTATGTAGTTTAACCTTCGCTCAATTTTTATGAGACTTTTATAAGAATTGGCTGGGAAAGAAGGAAAAAGGAAGTGACAGCATTTTAAAAACAAAGCCAATCTATGTCAGCAAAAGTCTTGCTGGACAACAAGAGCTTCAGCAATGCTAACAGCATCCATGTGAACTTGGGTCCTAAAGAGGGTTACTTTCCATCTGTCAGCAAAGAGAATAGCAGGCTTCAGCAGGGGGAGATTACAGGAAAATTCTAAACCCTAGCACTAAAGATGCCATCAAGAAAAATTAAACTTCAACCCATTCTGTCTCTCAGAAGCCTTGATGGTGGCACTGTTGGAAAAGCATTGGACTGCTAGCCAAAAGGCTGGTGGTTCAAACCCACCAACTGCTCTGAGGGAGAAATCTGAGGCTACCACTCCAGTAAAGATTTACAGCCTCAGAAATCCTACATAAGGTTACTAAGGGTTGGAACTGACTAGATGGCAGAGGGTTTGGATTTTGGCTTCTCTCAGTAAGCACTCAGCCATGTACTGAAACTACATGAACTATTTGTGCACTTACCAGGAGCAGACTTCAGAAGAAAATCAGACTGGGGTAAAAATACGAAGCCAAGTTTTTAGAAAACCCAGTGACAATAGTGAAGATGATTTTTTTATTTCCTATCACCTTTTCACAGATAATGCAATTATAGGATACTGTGGTCATCTCCTACTTTGGTCTAGTAGGTCACCTCCTATTTTGTATAACAGTATCTGCATGTTTCTGCATCCTTTGCTATTAAAAAATCTTAGAACCTCTATTTGGGGAGAGGAGTACCATAAATGGAGCAGTCAATTAGCAAATGGCTGTTAATTAAAAAGCTACCAGTTCAAATCTACCCAGAGATGCCGGGGGATGGGGGGGGCAGGGGAAGTCCTGGTAATCTACTTCTAAATATAGAGTTCAGTTCCACTCTGACATATATTGGATTGCCAGGAGTCAGAATCAAATAGATTTGTGGGGAGATAGGTCAGCAATTTATGTGAAATAGAAGTCTACAAATATAATACTGAAACTCTAAAATGCTCTACTGGATTGTAGATATTTAAGTAAAATCAACAGATATATAACAAACAAATGAGTGGGAACCTTTCGTACTTACAAGAGAACATGAGCAACGACAGCATTCACATCAAACAGGGTATCAGGAGGGAATTCTCTGAGTAGTATGTTGCCCCTATGAAAAGTTTAAAAATGCATTAGAAAAATAACTCCTTTGCATTCACTTTGTCTATGTAGTATATGAGGATGTAAGTTTTTTGGCTTGGGGTTTTTTTTTAAAGATCATTCTATTGGGGCTCTTACAGCTCTTGTAACAATCCATACATCAATTGTATCAAGCATATTTGTATACATGTTGCCATCATCATTTTCTAAACATTTACTTTCTATTTGAGCCCTTGGTATCAGCTGTTTTTTTCCCTCCTTTCCCCGCCTCTTCCACCCTCATGACCCTTTGATAAATTATAAATTATTATTATTTTCATATCTTACACCAACTGCTCTAACCCTTTACCCGTTTTTGTTGTTCATCCCTCTCGGGGTGGGGTGGGGTGGGGCTGTTATGTATCAATCATTGTGATCGATTCTCCTTTCCTCACCTTCTCCCCCTACCTTCCCTCTACCCACATGGTATCACTACTCCCATTTCTGTTCATGAAGACTTTTCTGACCTGGATTCCATGTGTCGTGAGCTCTTATCCGTCCCAGTGTACATGCTCCTGTCTAGCCAGAATTGAAAGGCAGGACTGAGGTCATGGGTCATGAGCCATGATAGTGGGGGGTGAGGAAGCCTCAAAGAACCAGAGGAATACTGTTTCATTGGTGCTATAGTGCACCCTGGTTGACTCATCCCTTCCTTGTGACCCTTCTGTAAGGGGATGTCCTATTGTCCACAGATGGGTTTTGGGTCTCTGCACCAACCCCTCTCGTTCTCAACAATATGTTTTTTTGTTTGATTCTTTGTTTTGAGTCTTCTGATGCCTATTACCTGATCCCATTGACACTTCATGATTGTACAGGTTGGTGGGCTTGTTGCTTCTCAGCTAGATGGCCGCTTGTTTAACTTTAAGCCTTTAAAACCCAAGACACTGTATCTTTTGATAGGTGGGCACCATCAGCTTTCATCACATTTTCTTATGCACCCATTTTGTCTTCAGAGATTGTGTTGGGAGGGTGAGCATCACATGCCAGGTTGTTAGAAAAAAGTGTTCTTGTGTTGAGGGAGGGCTTGAGCAGAGGTTCGAAATTGTCCATTTCATCAATGTATTGCCATATAAACATATGTACATTGGTCCTTATCTCAATTTCTGTGAATTAATATATTTGCATATGTACACTCCTAAAGTTATACCTCTATCCACAGCAGATGTAAGTTTTGACATTAAAGTCTTAATCCATGTATCCATGTACCTACCAAAGTGCTGGACATAATACACAAATATTCACAGAATTCATAAGAAATATACCAACTTTGGAAAGGTTAGATCCCAGATTTTGTGAAAAAATAAAAAGTTGGAAGTAAGTTTGAGTCCAAATAAATTTCCCTACCACCTCTCTTGTCACATATACAGACTCCCCAAACTGGCTGGAAAAGGGAGTAGTCAGAAAAATAAAGTCTCCTCAACAGTAGATACCTAAGGAAACAGGGCCTTTCCCCACTTTCTAAACAAAATCTCAAGGGTAAGAAAGGCTCTGAGAAGCTTCCAACATATTAGCAAATGCAAGTGCAGAGGAATCTAAAACCTGGACATTAAATATTAAATAAGAGTATATTTTTTTCACACCCAAATAGGAACCTGACATGTTTCCTCCTAACATTTAATTTACTGAACAGGAATTTGTAATATGAGTTCACAAAAGATTTTCAAAACCCTGTATAATCAATATTATCTCCTTTTATAAATATAGAAGTTAAAGTGCAGACACATATATTAATTACTTAGGCTCTTTACTAAGATTTATATGGCCCAACTATATAAAACCTTATGCAAATTCAGTGAAATTTTATATACTTAGGTATTGTAGAACCTAAGTTGCATTTGTACTTTTGTCCACTGACAATCAAACTAGATTATTTATTAGTTTACCTGAATAAATATGCTTTCATCAGATCCTTTTCTTTCCCACAGTATTTTGCTGTTTCTTCTTGGACACAATTTACCTTTAAAAGATTATATTTGAATATTATACATTTAATGTATTTTTAAAATTCACATGCTTATTTGAAAAAACAAACACTGCCATTGAGTCAATTCCGAGTCACATATATTAAAGTATATATTTAAATATTAAGGTTCTTGGTTAGACAAACAAAAAGGAGAATTAAACCTTACAGCTTGTCTCTAGTCAAAACAAAATTTCCATGATAGGTATTCTATAATTGCTCACACATTAATTATACTTAAGAGTTCACATTTAATTTAATCTATGGAGCAAGCAGGAAGTAACCAGGTGCAGGAGGAGGAAAGAGTATTTAAGGCAGTGCCCAAAAAAGCTTCCAAAAGCAAAAGAGTGAATGAATGGCCTATTGGGACCACGAAAGCTTTCCATACCTCCGGGAAAGAGTTACGGCAGATAATGCTCGCTTCTTACTGCACACCCACGTCTCCGTCTTACTAACAGAACTCACTATACGCATCAGCCCCATTTAAAGTCCCTCCTATACTCCCTTAAAGTTATGAATAAGGTGTCAGCAGACGTCACTGGACTGGGACTCCTAGGACGCACTGTATGAAAACACTGACTAAGCAAAGAGGAAACTCTTGCTCTTCCCACTACTTCCTAACAAAACCCAGCATGATGGCTAGAGTGCCAGCAGCAATCTTTAATCATAAGCAGCCGCTACTTAGTAAGGACAGTGCACAGTAAAATACGAACCTGAGTCCCTGATGATGTTAGAGCAGACACATCAACTCGTGGTAGCTTATGATGTGGAGTCTACGTAAGGGGGTTCATGTGCAGGTACTGGCACCTGAGGCTAAGAAGTAATGGACATAGTGGATTCATGCAAGAGACTGTTCATAAATACTATAAGCAAAACTAGGGAGAAAATGGAGCTCTGATAATATAGTGGTTACATATTGGGCTGTGATCTGCAAGGACAGCAGTTCAAAACCACCAGCAGCTCCAAGAGAGAAAGACAAGACAGGGCTTTCTACTCTGGTGAAGAGTTAGTCTCAAAAACTCACAGGGCAGTCCTACCCTGTCCTATAGGAGCGCTATGAGTTGGCATCAACTCATTGGCAGCAAGTTTGGACTTTTTTAGGGAGAAAATGGAGTGGGGGTGAGGAAAGATAAAAAGAGAATGAAGGGGTTTCTAGATGGAGCAATATTTAGCTGCCAACATGACCAACCATTGTTAAGAACAATTATTTCATTTTTGTTTAAAATGAGGTTTTTTAATTATTATTGTTCAATTTCATTTTAATAGGTTTCAGGAAGCAGAAAGACAATTGAGGAAGCTACTTTTGTTTTATAAACTACAAAAAGAGAACTTACACTCATAAAAGATTGATGTCAGAATTAGAAAATTAGATTTAGAACTCAGAGCATAATCATAACCAAAAAGTCAGATTTACAGCATGTGATTTCAAGTTTTTAAAGTCAGAGCACTGGATATGGTGATATTATCATAAAAGATCTATACATTCATTCAATGTATTTTAAAATACTATCTAAAAGTGGACAATTTGAAACTACCCAGAGGAATTCATGGCCTTAAAAACTCAATGAGCAGCTTTACTCTGCACAGATGGGGCCTCCATACAGTGGACAGCAACTAACTCGACATCATCACCACCACGTCAGTCACTATTCTAGCACAAGGAGCTAAGTCCCAAAAAGATGTTGTTAGCTTGTTGTTAGCTTATGAATTGACATTCTCAGACAATTTTTTAAAGACCACAACCAATATGTAAGATTAAATAATAATCAGTGTTATATAAATAAAAATATATGAATAGGGCAGTGTGTGGCAGTATTTTAAGCTAGATAGTCAAGACTTCTCTGAAGAGGTAACATTCACACAAAGAACAGAAATAAGGGAGTGACTCCTATGAATGCATAAATGTGTAAAAGATACGAGTCCTAAGCAGAGGAGAGAGTATATGCAAAGTCCCTGTGCCAACAGCACTCCTTGCAGGTTCAAGTAACAGAACCATAACCT